TTCGTGTATTTAAAATTAATCGGAGCAGTTTGAATTTCTTCAGCCTTACTCCCCTTTCGTTTTTAAAAATGTTTAAATATTTTACTTTTGCCCAAACCATAAAGTATTATGATTTTGTTTTCGTGGCTTAAATGGAAACAACTCACCAATATTTTGTTCTTAACAAATTGTATGTGTGGGGGGGGGTTGGGTTGTGGCTCAGCGGTAGAACACTCGCCTAGCATGTGCAAGGCGCTGGGTTCGGCCCTCAGCACCACATAAAAATAAATAAAATAAATGTATTGTGTCCAACTACAAAATTTTTTTTTTTTTTAAACATGGGGCTGGGTTGGGGATGTGGCTCAAGCGGTAGCGCGCTCGCCTGGCATGCGTGTGGCCCAGGTTCGAACCTCAGCACCACATACAAACAAAGATGTGTCCGCCAAAAACTAAAAAGTAAATATTAAAAAAAATATATGGGGCTGGAGATAATAGCTCAGTTGGTAGAATGCTTGACTCGCATGCGCAGGCCCTGGGTTCGATCCCCGGCACCAAAAAAAAAAAAAAAAAAATTGCCCCAACTACAAAGGTAAAACCTTTCAAAAACTCCTTTATTTTTAGGACAGACTCCTGGTAGTAGATTATGAGCCAAAAGTAGACACATTTGTATTATTAATTTTTTATTTTGAAGAAATTTCAAACAAGCTGTTAACAATAACAGAATAGTGCAAGGAACTCTCTTGCAGGGAGTTCTTAATACATGTTGCCAAATTGCTTTCCAGCTGTACTAGTCTACATGTTCCTTGTAGTGTAATGAAAGAATGGTATACATATTTGAGAAGACTAGTAATAATTGGGTAAGGGAAGGATTTAGCCACAGGACAATAAGACTAATACCAAAAAGAAAAAAATCCATACAACTGAACTCAACTTTTTCAATGTTCAAATCAACTGAGCTAAAACCAAACTAAAAGACTGTCTCATTTTGTTAGTTTCCACATTACTATCTTCATTCTTCACCAATCTAGAAGACAGATTTTCAGGATTATGCCTCCCTCTTAACATTCCTAGGCTAGGACAAAGTGGCATTAACTCATTTGGATTACAATCACTCCTTTTACCTATTTTTACAATATAATGAAAATAACTGGGTTTTCAGAGAGCAGCAATCTAGTGCCACAAATTGTTATTAAATTAATACATGAAATAGATGTAATACTGTGTAAATCAATGTACTTTTTTTTTTTTTTAATACCAGGGATTGAACTCAGGGGCACTCCACCACTGAGCAACATCTCCATCCCTACTTTTTATTTTATTTAGAGACAGGGTCTCACTGAGTTGCTGAGGCTGGCTTTGAACTTGCGATCCTCCTGTCTTAGCCTCCTGAGCCACTGGGATTTCAGGCATGCACCACCAAGCCCCTGGCTTCAATGTACCTTTGTTTCTTTAAATATTTATTTTTTAGTTGTAGTTGGACACAATACCTTTATTTTATTTATTGTTATGTGATGCTGAGGATTGAACCCAGGGCCTCGGACATGCTAGGTGAGCACTCTACCACTGAGCCATAGCCCCAGACCCCCTTTGTTTGTTTTTGAAAACAGAATCTTGGCTTATTACTACTTTGGGGCACAAAAAGAAGTATTAAGAATAATTCAAATATTTTGTACCGGCCACCTAAATTTGCATTTATCAACCGGGCACAGTGGCACAGGCCTGTAATCCCAGCTTCTCAGGAGGCTGAGGCAGGAGGATCACGAGTTCAAAGCCAGCCTCAGCAATGGTGAGGAGGCACTAAGCAACTCTGTGAGACCCTGTCTCAAAATAAAAAATAAAAAGGACTGGGAATGTGACTCAGTGGTAATGGACCCCTAGGTTAAATTCCCAGTACCAAGAAAAAAAACATCATGTCACAGATATAATTAAAATTTCCTTTTGTGGGGCTGGGGTTGTGCTAGAGCGCTCACCTAGCATGTGCGGGGCACTGGGTTTGATCCTCAGCACCACATAAAAATAAAATAAAGATATTGTGTCCAACTACAACTAAAAACAAAATATTTTTTTTTAATTCCCTTTTGTGTAGCTTTCTACTCTCTTCTATTTATGCTGTGGTTTTTTTGGTTTTGGTACCAGGGATTGAACTCGGGGTACCTGACCACTGAGCCACATCCTCAGCCCTATTTTGTATTTTACTTAGAGACAGGGTCTCACTGAGTTGCTTAGTGCCTTGTCTTTGCTTATAATCCTCCTGCCTCAGCCTCCTGAGGCACTGGGATTACAGACGTGTGCCATTGCGCCTGGCTTGCCCCACCCCTTTTAAAAAATATTTTTTAGTTGTACACAATATGGACACAATACCTTTATTTTATTTATTTTTATGTGGTACTCAAGATTGAACCCAGTATCTCACACATGTAAGGCAAGACCTCTACCACTGACCTACAGCCCCTTTTTACTTTTTATTCTGAGACAGGGTCTTACTAAACTGCCCAGGCTGGAATAGAACTTTCAATTGAACTGTCTCCCAAGTAACTGGGATTACAGGAATGTGCCACTGCATCCCCAGCTTCATTTGTCTTGAATTCTTGAAGAGGGCTAGGAGTATAGCTCAGCAGTAGAACACATGCTTAGCTCTGGTTTCCATGCCCAGCATTACACACTAAAAAATAGTTTTGTTTTTGTTTTTTGGTACCAGGGAGTGAACTCGGGGTTACTTGACCACTGAGCCACATCCCCAGCCCTATAATTTTATTCAGAGACAGGGTCTCACCGAGTTGCTTAGCACCTCACTTTTGCTGAGGGTAGCTTTGAACTCGCGATTCTCCTATCTCCCAAGGCACTGGGATTACAGGCATGCGCCACTGTGTCTGGCTCAAAAAATATTAATTTGTAAAGGAAAAAGAAAAAAGCCAAATTATAACTAAAAGTAGTAACTTTTACTTAAGTAGATGCTTGCACTTCTTCTTTTTTTTTTTTCCTGTGGAGGATTGAACCCAGGGCCACATTCCCAAACCTTTTTATATTTTATTTTGAGATAGGGTCTCACTAAGTTACTTAGGGCCTCACTAAGTTGCTGAGGCTGACTTTGTACTCTCCATACTCCTGCCTCAACCTCCTGAACCACTGGGATTACAGGTATGCACCACCATGCCTGGCTTCTCGCTCCTTTTCAACCAAATTTTCACACAGCATAATGAGTGATTTAAAACCTAGATAAACCAGGCGCAGTGGTGCACCTCTGTATTGCCAGTGGCTCAGGAGCCTGAGACACAAAAATTGCGAGTTCAAAGCCAGCCTCAGCAAAAGCAAGGCCCTAAGCAACTCAGGGAGACCCTGTCTCTAAATAAATACAAGATGTGACTCAGTGGTTTAGTGCCCCTGAGTTCAATCCTTGGTGCAAAACATAGCAAAACAACAACAAAAAAACTAAATGAACAGGGCAAGGGGTGTGGCTCAATGTTAAGTGCTTGCCTAGCCATGTGTGAGGTCCTGGGTTCAATTCCTAGCACCGCAAAAAAACAAAACAAAACCAAACAACCTAAATGGCATGAAACTATCAATTTGTGACTCTCTAGTGTCTTCCATTTGCTTGTAATGGTCTTTCATTGCCCACCCTGGGCCTGCCTCCTCTGTGCCCACAGGTCCCATATTCTCTTGCTCACCACTTTCCTGGTTTCCCTCCAGTTCCTTCAAAACACTACACTTTTAGCCTCAATTCTTTTCTTCCACTTACACCTCAGTTGATTTTTCATTCCTAATATTTCAACTTAAAATATCTCTTCGACGGGCATGGGAGTACACACCTGTAATCCCAGCAATTTGGGAATCTGAGGCAGGAGGATTGCCAGTTCAAAGCCAGCCTCATCAGTTTAGCATGGTCCTAAGCAACTCGTGAGCCCCTGTCTCAAAATAAAAATAAGTAAGTAAATACATATATGAAAAGAACTAGGGATGTGGCTCAATGGTTGAGGGCACCTGAATTCAATCCCTGGTACCAAAAAACAAAACAAACAAACAAACAAAACTCCCCGGTAAATTTCATAGTTTCTCTATTAACAGCACGGCTCCACCTCTGTGACACCAGCCCACACTTACTATTTTTTTTTTTTTCATTTTTGGGTATGAAACTTGTGCAAGCTAGACACGCACTCTACTGAGCTACATCCTCAATCTTAACCTTTTTAATTCCATCTCCCCCATATAATTTCAAGTGCTTTATCATATTTTCCTCACCCCAAATGAAACCCACTCACTCCTCAACAGGATTTAATCACTTCTAACCAGACTGGTTGCCACAGCCTTCTAACACTTTCTTGGACTTCTTAAATCCTAATCTTCAATGATGTCCTGTAACAATTCATTTCAAGGACACCACGGCCAACTGGTTCTCCCTAAAGTATGGTATTATACCCTGTCGCCTAGATGCCTTTAGTGACTCATCTAAAGCAATATTGGACTCAAATAAACAAAAACACGTTAACACAAATTATACTCCATGCACTAAGTGCTGTGAGCAAAAATGTATTACTACTATAAATTTCCTTTATCTACCCTCAGGCCGTTCCCTCCGCCTACAACGACCCCCCCCTACGCCATCCCAGCTCCGTTCCGTGGGAATCTTTTACAACACAGGACCACATTTGCCGACAAGTGGCTGAGAACACCGCAGCTCTTAAGACTCTCTTGGCACCTGTTTGAAACGCAACACATGTCTGCAGAACTAAACTTATCCCGCAGACGGAGAATTGGTTCTTTACGATGAATTGCAAGACCGGAAATGACTTGACAAGAACTTCCGCAACTTCAGGAATCATAGATTTGAGCGACGCCTGCGAACAGCGGGCTAGGAAGGATCAGCTTTTCAATTACGTCTGCGCAAAGAGATCCCCAAGCCTCGGTGGTCTGTGCTTCCGTTCTGGTGACAGAGCCGCCCTCTTCCGGCGCTCTTGGGCGGCCTGGGCCCGCCCCCACGTCGGCGGTGACGGAAGCACGCCGGGGGTGACCTCACCTTTCAACATGGCGGCGGCGGTAGATTAGGGCAGTGGGTCGAAGCAGTCACCGCCGCTTGGGGACCCTGTTGGAAGCAACCGCCGCCGCCGCTTTTCATCTCTTCTGGGGCAGGGGCCAGGGCCAGGTGAGGGGAGTGGAGGGTCCGGGCAGACAGAACTGGGTGAGGAGGCGGATTTCACCCGGGGAGGAAGGTGTTCAGAGACTACGGAGTCACCGACTCCCCACTGGTTCACACTGCGCGTGAGTGAGAGACCGAGTGTGTGTGTATGTGTGTGTGGCGTGTGTGTGTCAGTGTAAGCATTTATCGGCGCTCCTCTACTCCGGATTTTCGAAGTTTGAGGGGGTCCATTTCATTATAACCGGACCAGACGCGATAGACAAACGTGGTCCTATTGCGGACCCTTGAAGGGAACTTCTTCCCCCAGTGTGGGCTATCTAAGGCGTAGGAACTCAGACCTTTGCCCTACTTTGCTGTTCTTCCCCACAAGTAGCTTCACGGAAAACTTTGGGTCCATTTTCAGAGCTATACTGGAGAACGTGGACTTCCGATTGGTCGAAGAAAAGGTTTGCATGCGATTCACTTAGAACAGCTAGCTATAGGTTAGTTTTGCCATCCGTAGTCCTTTCTTGTTTGACACCCATTTCCTTCCCCCTCCCCGAAAAACCTGCCTTCTTACCCTTTTAAGCAATACAGTTCACATTTTATTTCCGTTGATTTTTATCCTGTCAGCATTCCAAGGAGATCTCAAGTTTCTTGCCTTCATAACCGACTATGAGGGAGAACGCCTAGACTTTTTGAAGCAATCTGACCGGATAGATATGCACATACTGTTGACTGATAGTTTTCTTTAGCTCTTAACCACTCCTGACACAAGTGTGTTTATCCAAAATAGCAATCTCACAGACTCTGCGTAAAATTTTGAACTAAGTTCACAGTCCCCTCTCCCCTTTTTTGATTTCTGATGTAAAACCAAACAACAATCTTTTTGCGAAATGGTAAGATTTCCCCTGGAGGTTGGTATAACCAGAATGTTGCTCTTTGTTCTGACTTGTTGTGTGACCTTGGATGAGTTGCCACACCCTTTAGATATCTGTTTTTTGTTTTCCTTTTAACCCCTTAAAAAATAAGTGTTCGTGTATACCTCATATACACAGTTGTATAACTGTACCCTGCACGTTTGTACTTGTGAACTGAAAGTATTTAAGCTATGAAATGTGGCTTTTAATTCATTTGGTAATAGACAATTAAGGATTTTGAAAATCCTTTTACTCTGAGTGATCAGATGCTGTTCCTTTTCCGTGGCTCATACTCTTATGTGAAGGAGTGTGTCCCAGTAGTTGAATTCAGCTGAAGGATGTGTAAAGTTGAAAAAGATATGCTTACTTACACATCATTTAATATTGAGATCCTGTCTCAAAATACAATAAAAAGGGCTGGTGGGTGTAGCTTAGTGGTAGAGTGCTTGCCTAGCATACTTGCCCTGAGTTTAATCCTTAGTATTGCAAAAACAAAAATTATACTAACCTTTTAGGACTAGTGATTTACAATAAGAATTTTTTTGGGGCTGGGTGGTTACTGGAGATTTAACCCAGGGGCTCTTTACCACTGAGCTACATCCCCAGTCCTTTTTGTGTTTTATTTTGAGACAAAGCTTCATTAAGTTGCTTAGGATCTCCCTAAATTGCTGAGGCTGTTCTTGAACGTTCAATCCTGTCTCAGCCTCCCTAACTCCTGGGATTACATGCATGTGCCACTGTGCCCAACAAGAATAATTATTTTTAAAATATGTTTTTCTTATAAACTATTTCAGCCATAAAAATTTTAAACATTTAGTATTTCTACCCTGCTTTTTTTTCAGATAGAGTTTTTTAAAACCTTTTTTTATAACTTTGTTTATTATTATTTATTATGTGGTGGTGAGGATTGAACCCAGTGCCTCACACATTTTAGGCTAGTGCTGTATCACTGAGCCACAACCCCAGCTCTCAGAGTTTTTATTTATATTCCAAATAGATGATCACTAAGAGTTCTTATTTAATACATATTACAGAGTTGGGGAAAGAAGCTATTTTCAAAGTAACTGTTTTTGCTTTTGCTGGGCTGGGGATCAAACCCACAGCCTGTGCATGCCAAGCCTCCTCTGATGTACATCTTCAGCCCCTTTTGTTGTTGTTTTGTTTTCCTGTGCTAACAATCTAATCCAGGGCCTCGTGCTTTCATGCACCCTACTACTGAGCAACACATCCAACCCAAGAGTAGCTGATTTTTGAGTTATAATTAACATGCCATACAATACATAAGTGTTCAGTGGTTTTCAGTATTATCCACAGAATTGTACAACTATAACCACAGTTTCATACACCAAAAAGAAACACCATTCCTGTTAGCAATCATTGTTTCTTGGGGGAAAGGAGGTAGGTACTTGGGGATTGAACCTCAGGCCTTCACATACTAGGCAAGCGCTCTACCACTAAGCTATACCCCAGTCCTTTTTAAGTCTTATTTTTGAGACAGGCTGGCTTTGGATTTGTAGTCCTCCTGCCTCACTCAGCCTCCCAAGTAGCTGGGATTACAGCTATGTACTATCTCATCTACCTGTAATTTCACTATTTTTATTATGATTAATTTTACTTTTGAAGAAGACCTAAAATTCAATACTTATAAAGCATGGATTAAAAATTTACTGTTATTGGGCACTGGGGATATATTAAGTGGCAGAGCATGAAATTACTGCTGCTGGACCTCATGTTAATCTGTGGAACTTTAAAAAAATTCCCTACTGGGGCTGGGTGAGTGACTCAAAGGCCCTGAGGTTGGATTCGCCAGCACCACCAAACCACTAATAAGTCTTAAGACTAAAAATTCTCCAAACCACTAGTGAGTCTTGGCGCTAAATTTTGGCAACCAAGAAACTTTGTTACTGTTTAAAATTAGATAGTTTTGATTTGACTGAGTTGTTTTTTTTTTTTTTTTTTTCTTTTTATAAACTGGGATTATAGATGTGTTCAACTCTCAAGTATTTAACAATTTTATTGCATTATAATTTTATTTTGGTGGCAGGAAATGGTCTAAAACAGGTTCTGAAATAATTTAGCAACTACTTAAAATGTTATATTGTAAAATATGTTGTAATTCTCTGAAATTAAAGAAAATAATTTAGGTATGATGCTCCAAATTAGTATGTATGAGATGGATTCTAGGAATTTCTATTTTTAACAAGCATTCAATATGATTATTATGAGACAAGTTTGGGAAACAGGTACAATGGATTGTCACATTGCTGCAAATGTGCTTTTCTTAAGACTTTATTGTAGGATTAAAAGTTGCTGTGTAACTTCTGATTGTAGTCCATAGAATATTCTTAATTCCTGTGGTATAATTGGTACTACCATCCTCGAACTTGACTGGTGCTCATAATAGAAATAAAAAACAAAATCTACCAACCAACCAACAACAATAAAAACATGGAGCCAGGGATGTAGGACCGTAGTAGAAAATTTGCCTAGAATGCATTGAGGGCCTCCCAGCACTGTAATATTGTATTTTTTACTGAAGGATTGTGGATGTCTCATTTGTGACAGGTTGTGGGGAATATATAAACATAGGGTTAAGTTACCCTAAGCTGCTTCAGGCTCTCCTCCTGACTTGAGAACTACTTGCATTTTAGAGGAACAAACTAAAAGGTATAAGGCAGAGCAAGAAACAGATTGTTAACATAAATATATCCAATACTTTCTTTGTAATTGTGCAAAAGATAAAGTTTTTGTTTAAGATCATATACCTGGAATTGGGCATGAGAGCCCACAGGTATAATCCCAGTGACTTGGGAAGCTGAGGCAGGAGGATTGTTAAGTTTGAGGCCAGCCTGGACAATTAAGTGAGACCCTATCTCAAGATTTTATTTTATTTTATTTAATAGTGTGCTGGATTGAACCTAGTACCTCATGCACTAAGTTACATCCCCACCCTTTATATTTTATTTTGAGATAGGGTCTCACTAAGCTACCAAGGTCAGCCTTGAATTTGGCAGTACTCCTCTCAGTCTATTTAGTAGCTAGGATTAGTGTGTGCTACTGTGGCTGATATATGTAAATATTTCTCAATACTACAAACTTGTACCTAGTTTTAATTGTAAAAGGCCCTACTAAATAAAATGTAAAGAGTAAAAGTAACTCTGTTCCTCTCATCATTTTAAAAGGAAGCTTGAAATGTCTTTTTTAGATATGAAATGTACATGGTATCCATGAGGCAATAATGGGATGGACCTAGGTATGTTGCTTTGCTTCTGGGAAAGCCTTGAGTGGTAGTTTCAGATCATATTTAATTTTGATTCAATTTATCTTTTTCCTTTTTCTCCCCCCAGCTCCATTCTTAAAAATGACAATTTTTTTATTTTTCAGTACTCTGGGTGTCTGTATTAGAAAAACCACCTTGTTGCTGGGTGTGATGGTGCATACTTTAATTCCAGCCACATGGTAGGAGGACCACTAACTCCTCACCATACTCAGCAACTTAGCAAAACCCTATATCAAATAAAAAGGGCAGGAGGTATGACCCAGTGGTAGAGTGCTTGCCTAATGTGGCAAGATCCTGGGTTCAAACCCCAGTACCATAAAAAAAGAAAAGCCACTTTGTTTTTCTATATTCTTTCCTACATTATTAGTGTTTTTCACCTCAGTATTTCTTTTTCACCTGTGTTTCTCTTACCTAGTACATTTTCTGGCATGCAGTAAATATATGATGAATGAATACAATTAAGTGAAAAGGGTTTATTTATTAATTTTAAACATTTATTTTTTAGTTATAGGTGGACATAATTTTTTTTTTTTTTAATGTGGTGCTGAGGATCAAACCTAGTGCCTCATGCATGCTAGGTGAGCATTCTCCGTCAGAGCCACAAACCCAGCCCAAAAAGGGTGTATTTAATTAAGTGATTGCACTGTTAACTAGCTTTATGATTTTAGGCAAATCAATCATCTGTTATGACAACACTAGAAAAGTGCTTTAGAAATAAAGGTCTTATGCAGATAAAATTTATTAATAATATTTGTTAGAAATCTAAGAGCCCATTGTGCAGTATGCTTATTACCACTGCATAATGTTGGAAAGGAAGTGAGTCCCCT